CAGCGAGGGGGCGCATGCTGGGCAGAGGCAGCACGTGGAGGGGGGAGACAGCACAGGGAGGGGGGGAGGCAAAGCAGGAGGAAGGGGCCTGATGCCCAAGTGCTCCGGGGATGGTGGCTTGTGGCAGGGCTTCCTCCCACCCTCCCCACCCCCTGGCGCCCTGGATGGTGCCTGGCTCTGCAACAGATGTGCCTGAGGCCGGAGGGCACCTGGCTAGAGGGAGCCCCGCGGCTTGGAAAGGGGCTGCCGGGTGGGGCAGGCAGGGCACTGGAACAGGATGCTGAGACTCCAGCGGGGCAGCCGAGGTCCCCCCTAACCAGGCTGTAAAGAGGTGGGCAGTTGGCTGGTGCTGCAAGGAGGGGATGATGAGCCCCGGGGAGGTCCATAGCCGCTTTTTGTGTAGCTGAGAACACTAGATGTTGTTTTTAGTGTGGCGGAGAGCAGGCAGCTCCTGGCACCAAGGCCTTTGATACAAGATGCTGGTGGTGCCTGCCTCTAATGCTTTTGCTGGTGCTCCCCCAGGTGCGTAGGTAACCAGAGAGCGGCAATCGATTGATCGCTTCCAGAACGGTCCCGCTGCCTTCCTGAGATCCTGTTTCAGCCCTCGCAGCACGGGTTTCTGGTGCCAGGGGAAGAACTGGACGCAGGGTGGAAGGGCTGTTCTCACTTAGTGCTTCAGGACAGGGCAGGGTGGTGGAACCTGTTTCCAGGACCAGGTGAGGTGTTGAACCCTTCCCAGGTTCTTGCCCATCTGGAGTGGTCGTTAAAGGGGCATTCAGTGGCAAAGCGCAATGGCAGGGGCTGTCCCACCTCGGTAGGAATTTCTGTGTGCTTGGTACAGCCTGGCCCAGATGCAGGGCTTCCCTGGGCACGTTGCTCAGGGATTCTGCTGTGCTAGGGGTGCAGGGATCCAGTGTTGGCAATGTGGGAGGGAAATTGGAGTTGTGCACCTTGCTTCTGTTACTCTCCTGCTCCAACTAGCCCCTTCACCCTAACCCTCCCCTCCCTGCTCCCCTTCCCGTACCATCTGCTGCATATGCCACAGCATGAAATCCCATTCTCTCTTGGGTGGATGCATCAGATGCAAGCTCAACACAGCTGGTGGGGACAGCAGCAAGCTCCTGCCCAGAGTACCTCTGAGGGGCTCGTTTTCATTGCTCACTTTCATTGCAGAAATCACTGGAGGTTTCTAACTCTAGTGCTATCTGAACACACAACCCCTTAGCATGAGTGCAGTGGTGCTTTTCACTCGGGCTGGCTGGCCCAGTCTGAGATTAAGTACTAAGTCTGAGTAAGTGAAATTTATTAGCTACTGATGCAAGAACTTTGCAGTGCAATGCAAACCAGCTTCTCCAGTGCCGCTAGCCCACCTGTGCTTCCTCCATCACCATATGGCTAGAAGGATGAACAGGTTCTCCCACAATCCATTGTGAAAGGATTCATAATGCTGCTTTGGCTAATGCAAAGTACTTAATCCTGGTTTGCAGCCTGTAAGTATATCAGGGGAGCTTATCAGGGCCTGGGGGAGCGACTATTCACCAAGACCCCCGGGGGAGGACTTGAAATAATAGGCACAAACTGATTGAAGATCACTTCAGACTAGACACAAGGGAAAACTTCCTTACAAGTTGAGTGCTAAGGGTTTGGAACAGGCTCCCCCCAGAGGTAGTACAGTCACCCTGCCTGGCAATCTTCAAAAAGTGACTTGAACCCAGCAAGATGGGCATCATTTGACCCCAGCAGTCTTTCCTGCCCAAGTCGAGCCTGGACTCGATCTGTAAGGTTCCTTCCAGACGCTAACAACTTTCATAGTTTCATAGGACTGGGATATGACCTCAGCGGTTGTAGCGCTATATGAGCATGAGTACAGGCCTGGGAGGTGATGGCAGCTTGAGTGCTTTTCACAGGGTGGAAAGCTCTTATGCTTGGCTAGCTCTTACTTATGCTTGGCTAGCTCACAAGAAGGATCTGAAATGTGGATCTCTCGAGTTACCTCCTCTTGGAGGGCATGCCCTCAAGAGAGAGGAGGGGGAGAAAGAGGCCTGGAAGGAGTCCATGGTGGCCTGATTATGTGAACTGGTTTCCCAGGCACAGGGAAGGGAGGAATTTCCTGTGTTTCCTCCCTGCTTTTGCTCCTCTAATGAGAACAGGGATCCTTCCATGGGGAAACAAAGGCAGCGCCTCATGAACTCCTGGCTGGGGGATATTGAAGATGAGCCTGGTCATTGTTCTCACTTGAGGATTTGTCCTGGCATGACCTGGCCTTTCTCTTTGCTACATCCCCATGGAAGTTGGAGTACATGGAACAGGGCACCTTAGCTACAGCCCAGGTTCTTCCACCTTCCCCCATGAGTCCTGCCTGGCTCCATGTCACAGGCTGCATGAGGATGTGTTAGCTATGACAGAAAGAGGAGCTTGATTCTTTGAGCAAGGGGGTGGATCGGAAAAAACAGTTCCCTGGCAGGATGGGTTGGCCTGGACCCTGGGCCGTCCACTGCACAGTCCAGAGGCCAGAGTAGACCAGCTTGACTGTTGAAGCAGCCCATGAGTTGCCTGCAGATTTTCAATATTCATGTAAGGAAAATGAGGCATTTAGCCTTTGTGGTTGGAAAGGAAGCTCCTGATTTTTTTGTTTTGTTTTGTTTTGTTTTTTTAGTGGTGCAGCAGTGTCGGCCTGGGTGTGTAGGCAACCCATAAAGGGCTCTGAAGTATGTGTTTCTTGTTTTGGGTTTTTGTTTGTTTGTTTTTTTTACCTGGCCCCTTTATCTTGACGGGCAGTCAACTTGATATGGCATGTTCCAGTTATGCCAGTCGGACTAGTGGCCACCTGTGGAACAAGATTCAGATGCACAGCAATTGAGTTAACAGATGCTGAGTTTTAGCTCAGGCTGTTGCATGCTCATTGTGTGGTTAGCTCAAGCTTAAGGAAGCACTGAAATCCAGCTACTGGGGGGGGGGGGGGGTGTTCATGCATTAAAGCGGCAGGAAGTCAGTCTAGGACAACACTTGAGTTGTAGGTTGAGTGCACAAGGCAGTGATGGCAAGCCCCCAAAAGCTCCTTGATAAGCCCTTTCATGCTGGCATTAGCTGTCTGGTTGCCAACTGTTTTGCCAGATAGGGCTGGGGAGTTAGGGCAGTAATCATAATTCTGGTTTGTGAAGATTGTGAATATTCAACATATAATAAATATTCAGAGAATATTTTGCATATTATCTGCTTTCATTTTGATTTAGAGTGACTTTGAAATTCTCCATGAAAGGGGAAGTCCTGGGTAGCTCATCTGATTTTGACTCAGAGTCAGGACTGTCAAGAAGCCATTTGGGAGCCAGGGCTCATAGTTACCCATCAGCCTGCCAAGTTAGCATCAGAACCAGGGCGCCTGGGCTTTCCAGGCACATGGCTTCTCTCACCCTGCCAGGCTGTTGCCCAACAGCCGGATGGGAATTGCAGGAAAGGAAAGATTTCCATCAGGATGATGCCTGCTTTCCTCCAGAACTTCAGGACTAAACAGGCCCTGCGAGCATTTCCGTGTTGATTAAATTGGCTTTCTCCAGTGGAAAATCACCCAGCCAGAGAATTTCCAACTGCTTCTAGTTGGAACTGAAGGTTACAAAACAAGAAAACTGGAAAGAGTAGAAAGACGGAAGGAGACAAACCTGGAGAATAACAGGCAGTGGGAAAAGAAGAGAATTGGGTTGGAGGCAATGGCGGTTTCAGAGGTTGTGTGTTTTTATACTGAGGTGAGATGAGCTGGCTGTGGGCGAATAAGATCGTAAAGCAGCTAAGTTACAACGTCAGGGTTGTACCATCCTTCACCAGTGTGCAAACCTCCACTGGCCTCTCTGGGAGGACAGTGTATTGTTTTATATTTGTACCATGGCCCATACCTCATCATTAAAGGTGTTAATTCTCAGCACAGAGAACACCACATCATCATAGACCTCTAGGCCTGTGCAGAGTCAGAACTTTGCTGCTTCACTTAGCTTCTCTGGCTTCCCATTTTATCCCGAGGAGCTGGTGCCAGCAACTAGGGACGAAGCGTGTTTATGCCACGGTCTGGCTGATCTCAGCAGATTGGACTCAACTACTGTTTCCAAAAGCATCAGGTAATACCCTCCCACACCTGAAAGATGGGCAGTCCCTAACATGAGATGCAGAAGTGACTTCCAACTCCAGTATGCCTGCCCTCCCTTCAAAACACCATGCCCAGAAACCCCTGGGGAAAACAGAGGCGGTTAAAGGATTTTATGAGAGCCCATGAGCTTTCTGCATTGCATCCATCCATCTCCACACAGCTGGATGTAGAAAAGCCTCCCAAAACAGTATTGGAAGCTCTATCCCATGAGATGCCAGTTACAAAACTTGGAAGATCCCCTGGAATAGGCTGAGGAGAGTCATTCCAGCCTTCTCTTTCTGATCATCTGCACTGCCTGGGAGTTCATGAGAACCACCCACCGTGCTTTCCAAAGCATTTCATCTCATTCTGGTTCCCAGACTGGTGCTGAAGACATCTGTCTCTCTTCTTTCTAGAATTTCTTGCATCAGCCTTCAGATATGGGGAGGACTCAAGTCTGTATTGAAGACGGGTATAGACAGATTCCAGTGGCATTTATCTGCATGTTACATAAGACTTGCCTACCCTGTTTAGAGAGCCTACTGTCATGAGACATTTCAGTGCCCAGCAGTTCTGTAGGGCAAAGTCTGCAGCTGTTCCACTGTCTGTCACAATCCCATTAGGTTTCAGTAGTGAAGAGGGGGGTTGGTATGAAGAAATAAATTTGGGTAAGGGAAGGGCCAGGTCCTGGTGCTGTGAGTAATTCTGCATGGTGGACTATTCTACCTCAGTGGGGTGCAAGGGATGTTGTGCTTTGGGAGGTGTCTTTTTAAGGTGATCATAAGGCTAAGAGTCTAAATATTTGGGCTGATTAAACATCTGGACACTAACCCTGGTGTCTAGACCATGTTTGCAGTCAGATGATCAATTTGGCTAAGTATTCCCCCTTTCAGTTCTGTCTGGAGCCAGAATTCATCAGCGCTTCCTGCCCTAAACTATGAAGCAGCATTGCTGCCTGCTCTCTGGTACCTGGCACACCAATCTTCTCGGTAGTGGCTGTGTGTGAGCAGGGAGGGGAGCAATTTCCAAGTGCATTGCTTATCCCAGGGTAGGTGGAAGAAATGGCATTTTTCTGAAGTCCACTCCATGTGGTACAGAGCTGTTTGGGGTCCCTTCTAGGGCAGAGAGAGGATAGGATGAAGTAGGAACAAGCAACAGGGCTCTGCTGGCCTCTCCCTGCGGTCTTTCAGTAGGCTGTGCAGCTGGGATTGCTCATCCTTCCCTCTTAATGTTGGGAACTGTGCTCTCTGGCTAACTCTGCCTACCCACAGGGTAGAGGCTGCTGTTGCTGGGGGCAGAGCGGGGTTTCTCCTTTTATAGCTGTGTTCCTACTGGGGCTGTGTTTGGGAAGCTGGCCATCCCCCATAGCCTCCAAAATGAGGTTCTCTTCCCATTCCTGGGGTTGTACTTAGCTGAGGCTTTCATCATAAGAGCTACAGCTGAGTGCAGGGCCAAGGTCCAGAACAGATGCCTCTGGTAGGTGCAAAGCTGCCCAGGCCCAGACACCTAGTGAGCTCTGACTTACAGTCTGTAGCTCCCTGCCAGGCTCCTCGGTCAGGTACGTCTACTGGAGACTGACTTGCAAATACTGTGGCTACTGCA